TCAGCATTTCTGATTGTTGTCAAAGAGAGTTAGATGTAAATAGTGCATCTCAAAATTTGGCCTTCAGGTATTCCACACCTTATTTTATTACTATCTCTGCACATTTTAACATCTTCTATTAATGCAGAGGTGCTTCTGTTCTGCTAGAAAGCCAAAAAAGGTTCAGTTTTGGCTCACGAATCTTCAGTAACTTTCTCTTACCAGATATTTTGTTATTTACAACTCTTACGGACAGTTGTTATTACCACATCCTGTTGCAAAATTGATAGTATTCCACAGTGCGTTCTGAAATGCAGAATGCTGCACACAAGCTGGGTTATGTTTATGGACCCTTCCTCTGACCCTTTGTCTCCTGCATATGGAAAGGTACTCCACTCCGAGAAGTACGAGTGGCAAAAAGGAGGGGAGAAAGGAAAGTGGACTGTCTGCCTAGATGTGAGGAGCATGACAGTAAGTGTAAGAAGTGGTTAGGGGTGTCATGGGGGGGTTGTGAGGATTTCTGGAAGGCACAGATTGGAGCTGGGTGAAAGCTCTTGCAGAGTTGCTTGGACCTACTACTGTGGGGAGGACCGTGTAGGAAGAGATAAAGTTCACCAAAGCAATAGACTGGTTTAGCAGAGGCAAGTTTTAATTCTGCCGCAAAGAAATTGCACAGGTGACAGCGCTGGCTGTGCATGTCTGTGGTGTGTGGCTGTGCCACGGGGGCAACGTAAGAAGTAATCACATCATAAGACCTCTGCAAGTACTTTTTTCTGTCTGTGCAATTTCAAAAGAAAACCTGTAGTTTGACTGTGAAGAGCTGTGCTCAGGAAAACGTTAATCGGTCATTTCAAAATCCATCAACAAGATTTTGTGGCACGGACCGTATTTCTTCCAGCAAGCCATAAACACTGGCCCGTATTCAGGTCTTGCTCAGTGACCAGTGAGATTGTGCTGTGTTTCCTGTAGCTCTCGTATTTAAGACTGACTTACCCCAGACTGCAAGGCTCTTTTCCGCTTGCCATGTGTTGCTGCCTGGCACCTGGCAGCATGGTTTCCCGGGTCCTGCGGAGCTCTGCAGCAAGGCAGTGCCTCCCAGCTCACAGGGATGCTCTCCAGCTTCCCGGGGATGCTCTCCAGCTTCGCCGGCTCACCACCGCTCACCCCAGTCGGTGTCCTACTTAGCCGAGATACAGTCTCCAGCTCCTTTGGGAGCTTTCCTGCTTTTTCAGCCTATCGCCTCTACCTGCCACCTACCACAAGCGTCATGTGGGGTCTGTCATTTTGTTTTGTGCTCATTATCTTCACAGTCAAAAATGCCGTGCTCTGCTTGTGCTAAGAACTTCACGTTACTGCAGTCCCATCTTTCTGAGCTGTCTCATTTTCTGTCGGTGCTTTGCAGAATTTCCCCTCTCCGTTTGTTTCTTGGTTTTACTAGAACATTTTACTCTGCTCATAAAGGATACGGAGTCTCACAGATTGTAGCAGTTCATGCCTTGCTGCTTCTGATGTGTGTCCAGCTCAGTTCTAATTGCAGAATCGCACAGTTTCCTCTCCTCGGCATCCTTTGGAGCAGCGTAGACCTGGATCACAGTGGAGTTAAAAGGCTGTCTTCCTGAACAAGTCATGATGATAATTAAGTTGCCTGGGTTGTAGCCAAGTGGTGCTTTTCTGTCCCTATCACTTAGGATTGTGCCAATTCCTCTTTTATGCTTTATTTTGTCATGTGAGAAAATGATCTCGCTATCTGCTGTCTCTCCCTTGCCTGGCCACCTGGCTTTTAAGAGGCCTTCTATGTCATGTCGCTACCTTTGTAATTCATTCATTAGCAAGGATATTTCACCAGGGTGCCAACGCGGTCTTACATTCCAGGTTCTGTTAGAACTAGAGAGGGGAGGTGATTTTTACCTCTTAGACATGCTGATGATAAAATACTACATATAGTTCTGGCTTCCACACTTTAAAAAGGGTGCAGGAGAATTTCACTGGATCAGAAAAGTTACAAAAAGTCATTTGAGGGCTGTAGGAGATGTGTTCCAAGGAAATGTGTAGGGAGCTGAAGGTGTTTAGCATATCAAAAGGAAGATCAAGAAGAGATATTATTATGGTATATCAGTAGCTTCACAAGAAGAAAATACGGGGCACGAAAGGTTTTTTCAACTGAGTAAAGAAAGGCATAAAAAGAACCAAAGGCCGGATATATTCAAATTAAAAATAAATTAGAAATGTATTTCTAACAGTTTGGGTGATTAACACACTGAACACAGTTTCAGAGAAGTGGTGGATTCCCCTTGAATCTTCAAATCTTCCTCCATGGGAGCTGTACCCTGTTTCTGCAGTGACTTTTCTGTGATACTTTGGCACATAAGCTTGAGGCACTTGCGTGGTTTCTCTCGCCTCTGATCTCTCAAGGCCCGAAAATCCAGATGCACCCGCTGCTTGATAACGTTCACGTGCAGAGCTGATCTGGGGGGACGTGTCTCCATGCCTCTTCCTCAAGGGTCACCTAGTGCCCCTGCCCACCCCTTCTGATGCTGACGTGGGTGTGCACAGAAGGGACCACACGGTGTGGAGCGGCGGAGTAATGCAAAATACTCAAACTGCCCTAAAAACTGAAATTCCCTGAATTTTCCAGCCATTTGTAGCCAGGCTTGAAAATCTGTCTAAGGAGTTAATGGCTATTTTTGCCAGAATTCTTCAGGATGACCTCTTCACAAGTGGAGAACGTTTTCTTTCAGCAGCGGCATGTAAATAGTAATTCCATTAGAAACTGAATTGTCCCAAATTACTATTATCTCCTGCTTTCAATGTGACAGCCGCCGGTCTTACGCAACTTACGGTCTTCTCAAAATGGCAGTAATTTTTCATGGTCTTCAATTTGAGAATGCAAGACAAAAATTTCTACTACCACGATGCTCGCTCTGCATCACTTTCTGGTAACGTTCAAGTTCACCTTCATCCTCAAAGCATCTTTGTTCTCCATGGAAGCAGTTGTAGGTGACAAATGTCTTTTAAGAGAACATCTTAACTGATGTAAAAGTCAGCGTTGCTAAAGCTTTAAAGCTTGGAATACTTGTATATACTCTCAGTAAAATGTAAAAGGGCATTGTCAACTTGAACTTTCCAAAGCTATTTATCTTTAAAAGTATTTTGTTAACTTCAGTGCTTGTAAGGAAATCTAATCCAAAACAGAGTTTTGTGGGTTTCCTACTGATGTCTGTAAAGGTTATTCTAGGATATGGTTAGTGCTTAGGTAATGCTGTAATGAAACCAGGCTTCCTTCACTGTTTTGGTCCCATGCAAAGATCTTCTGACGTAGATCTAACAAAAACTGGTTTAATTTTTTGTGGGAAAATTTGGTGTGAGAGCAAGCAAACTTCATTTTTCTTTTTCATGAAAAATTCAACTGCTAATGGAACAAAATTGCAGTTTTCTTATAGTGTCTGTCAATTGGAAAGTCTCATCTTTTGACTGAAGTGCATGTGCTGCTGATGCACTCACTGGATGCTGCATGCCCCAAGAGCCTCAGCACCTTCAAGTTAGACACGAGCGAGCTGCATCTCCTGCAGAGGAGGGGACCTGGCGCAGAAGGAGAAATGTGCTTTCACCCGGCGGTGTATGCACGGAGACGCTCTTAACCTAGATTTCCATAAAGCGCAATGGTGACACTCCTTAATCGAATAACCCTCGTTTTTTATCAAATTATCTGAGGGCCCTTCAGAGGGTATTCTTCCTGTAAAATGGTTAAGGCTTTCACTGGAAAAAGCTTCCAGATCACTCCCCCCGCTTTGTATAATTTTAGGAAATAAAAAGCTGGCGACAGGCTGTTCGTGGAGATCTATCAAGCAGACAATAGAGACATATTTCTCAAGTAATCTGGTAATTTCTCAGGTAATACATGTGGTGCTATTGGGAATATTTTATAGCTGTAGGAAAGGTGCATGGGTAAGATCAAACTGTCAGTTGTTTCTTTCAGCCTAGATAAAAAACAGTGTGGACACCTATGTTGCAAAAGTGATGTAACTTCAGGAATTGGAGAACTTGGAGTTTGTAGGTCTGATGAAACCTTGTAATTTTACAGTCAATGCATTTTTTTGATGCATGTAGGGATTTTTTTGTTCCAGTGGAGGTAGCTTTTGTTGCCTGTTTTTGAGTCAGAGGTGGATTATTTCTGCATTACTTGTATCATAATGACTTTCTGATTCTTTTACTGACTTTAAGAGAGCTTAAACTGGTTCCTTCAATGATTATTGGTTAAAGTCGCAGTATTGTTGCAGAGACTTATTTTTGAGGGGTATCTGTTCCGAAATAAACTATGAAAGAATATTTAACATCGGGGCGTCTTAACCTACTCCAGCTTTGAATCCTTGATAACAATATTTTTTACTTTAAGGAGGGCTTCACATGCCGTACTGCAGCCTAAAGAAAAATTTAACAGCCTGTGTACATGTTTAAAACTTCTATTGACCATCAGCCTGCACTGACAGCAACAGCTTTAGTCTTTTCCTTACTGTTTTTAATTTAATTTCTCACTCCTTATCTTCCAAAGAGTTCAAAACAAAAGGTAAACATTAAGCTCAGAATGCTGTGTCAGTTAGAAATTTTTTTCATTGTGAAATAATTGAACCTTTTTACTGTATCAGCTTTACAGTAGTTTAATTTTGACAGCTGCACAACAGACAGTAAATGTTTAAGAAAAAAATTAAAAAGAAATTTTCCTGTAGCAAATCTAATCTGCCTGTGATAGCACAGCACCCATTTTATGAGGCTGCATTTATTCTCGTAATTGGCTATTTCCTGTCCTTAAATGCCTATTTATTCATGTCTGCCACCTTTTCCTCAATTTATTGGCCCTGCGGTCACCACATTATCTTTCTCTTCAAAATCAATTGACATTTTATGAAAAGAGTTTGCTAGATGTTTAGTTTAGTGAGGGTGGCATATAGAACATGTGCTTGTCACATTAAATAATTGCTGTTAAAAGTAGAGTATTCAGTGGCTTAACTATATATAGAGAATATTAATTTATTTCAATATTGTTATTGTTTTTATTTAGAGTAATGAATTGGCAAAACATTACTGGGGGATGTTAGAAGTAGAAGTATCCGAAATAGTGCTTTTTCACAGAAATTCCTGTGCAGTGGAAGCTGGCATACATTTGACACAGGCATTGAATTTCTAGGCATGCTCAGAGTAGCAGTCTAGGAAACTTGGAACTTGTGAATTATACAAATTCAAATATTAAAACTTCTAAGCTCTGCAAAGACTAATTACTAACCTTAATGTATTCTTGTTTCGATTAAAAGGTTATGGTCAGCTCTTTCTTAGCAGTGATACTGTTTTTTCTTCCATGTTCTGCCTTTTATTTTTAAAGATGCTGCAGTGCTGTTTCTGCTGGCTGGCACGTATGGAGCTGTTCTTCATTAGTTCAGCGTAGGGTACCGCCGGGGTTATTCAGAAAGGGATCAAGCAGGGTGGATTGGCTTCAGCCACTCTGCGCAGTTGCAAGCAGTCCCTGCTCATTACAACGTGAGACATCTTATTATATAAGGGGTTGTGGCATCAAATTTTATCCTGGATGCCTGCATGAAGCTTTGACCCTGAGCCATGCAAGCTTACTGCAGGAGAGCTGAGCCTTTTGGGTGGTGCTCAGGTCATGTTTTGTTATGCTCAGTCATAGAAACTCCATCACAATTAAGTCCACACAGATTTTTATTTTTTTTTAAGAGGGAATTTTTACAGTTGTTAGATGAATGGTATCAAAAATGCTAAGCAAAACTTACATTTTGTGTTTATACAAGAGGCATCATAAAAAAATACAATTTGCATCTGAAGCTGGATTTTTAAAATTCTCTTTGACTGTGTTCAAGTACGGCATATTAGCTAACCTTGAATCTAGTGTCTGTACATTCTTTTTAATATGTATTGTGCCTATAAATAACAGGTTGTAGCTTTAAAAAAAAAAGTCAAGCAGGCAGCATGGGTTGAAGCTGAAGAGAAATCTTTCCAGAAGCTGCAAAGGAATTTCTACTAATTTGGGGTTTTTTTTTGTCCGGCTGTATGCAAGTGAGAAAATGTGCTCTTGCTTGATGTGAAGAAAACCACATGTTGATGGAGAAAATGTTTTTCTAGGTGCCAGGTTGACCTGTCGACCCTGAGTAAAGAACAAACCCACAAGCTGGAGATGCCGCTGGAGGAGGGAGAGGGATGCCTGGTGCTGCTGGTCACTCTCACAGCCTCAGCTGCAGTCACTATCTCTGACCTCTCCGTCAACTCCTTGGAGGACCAGAAGGAGCGAGAGGAGATTCTGAAGAGATATGTATGGAGCTCTTCTCTTTTGCCTTTTGTTTGCAAAATGTTTGCTTATATAAATAACGGGGCCGGGGGGAAATCTAAATATATCCCTTATATCCTTAGCACACTCAGGCAATGACAGTCATTTAAACTAGTTACTAATATTGCCATGGCTGGTACAGGTATTATCAAGAAGGCTACAAGTCCTCTTTACAGAATAAGGTATTTTTTACATAGTAATTCAGCTATTTGATACTATCATGTGACATAAAGACATTTGCTTTACTGCTTTTCAGTTAAACTGACTTCTACTGCATTTTTACCAAGCACAAAATAACTAAAGGGACACTCAGTGCCTGTACAGTTTCTAATGAGTGTTTATGCTAAATGATTTGAGATGCCAATAGTTTTCAGCTTTTTTCTGAACCTCTACTAATGGGCAAGAAAACTTATTTTTTTGTCTGCACATTGGAGGCTGAAGCAGTGTTTTGTATCATCAAAACAATTGTTTTCAACTGTATTTCCATTTCAGAATATTCTGAAGCAAATTATTTTCATTTCCCAGCATCCTCACAGAACACAGAATCTGTGTAGTTTTATCAAAGCAACAGAGAGGGGAGCTCTTACTCCAGCATTTGCTAATACTTAAATCACTAAAAGTAACTGTCTCACTACACACAGAGAAAGGAGGAAAAAAAAAAAACTATTTCCACTTAAAATTACAAAGCTTTTATTGTACAATGCTGCCAGGTGTTTAGAAAGGCTTCTCTAGACACTCAGCCATTAAACCAAGCTCTGACTAACAAAGAGACGCTTAATTTTTTTTTTTAGATTTTAAAATATTCCTATTCCATGACTGACATCCTTTCAATAACTGAATTTAATAAAGATGTACCTTATCAGGCTGTGCAGATAACATGAAGTGCTAGTACTAATGCTGTACAATATTCTTCAAACAGATTAGCAGGATGTGCGCTTCAGCAAATTTATTCTGGCTATCTCCACTGAATCAGCTGTCTGCTAATGCTTGTACAACTCATACACCAATAGTGTTATCATAAACACAGTTTAATAGAGGTGACTTAGTGAGGCTAAACATAATATTCCTAAACCAACTGAGAGCTAAGGTATTGTGCACCATCTTTGAAAAATAATTACAATTAAGAGAGTTACTGCACATTTTGGAATCCACCAAGACAGTCTGTGGTTGTCAGAACAGATCTTTATAAACATAATACATTTCTGATGGATACATTTTTGAGGTGACATACTTCTTGTCACCAAGTGCAACAATACTGTATTTCTGTGGATTATTGTGTGTGGTGATATGGCAGCCAAGTGATACTGATGGTTTTGATAATTTAGTAGCAGTATAGAAACATGTTACGACTGTGTGTTACTACTTGGTTTTCCTAAATTCTCAATTTTTTGTCTCCAGTGTAGAGCATAATTATGTGGTATAAGTTTGATCTATTTATTCACATTTCTTACGTATTCCTGGATATGTGTCTCTTCTTACATTTACATTACTGTATGCATTTGAAATATTTTATTTTTATATTTTTGGAACATGTTCATATTGCAGAGATGTGAGTTTCTCATTATGTGTTTTTGAAAAGTGTAGCATTGATATACCTTTTTGATGAATTTTACTGTTTTTATTAAAATGACCAATGGACAGCAGAAGAAAGAAATGACAAGGATTAACAAAATTGAAATATTTTGTTTTCACTGATGTTTGTTTTGTCTTAGGTATTCATATCTCTTCTTCAGAACTGATACAAAGAAAGTGTGTGCAATTAGCAAGGCGTACTGTTCCCCACTGAGTGACAGTATTTTGGGGTTTATTTTTCACCCTTTTAAAAAATCTAGCTTCATTTGAGAAATGTATTTTGCACCCTTTCTGCAGCCAAAAACAGTTAATGAGCTGACCTTGCCATCAGATCAAATACCCTTGGAAAATGACTCTATTACTGTCATTTAACCATTTGTAGCTGAACATCAGAGCCTTACAAATTAAACAGGCATTACTGTTTGAACCATTATTTTACCACAATTGTCTGAAAAGATTAATTCCTTTTGGGGTGAGGAGGGGGGCGCATTAATGGGTACAGACCAAGAGAGATTGCATGACCTTTTCAGAACGGGTGTGCTGAACCCGCGGTCCCCCTTGTCACAGTTTAAAAACCAGAGGAGCTAGTTTAGAGAAGAAGTTGTTAGCATTCCATTTTTATTATGACATTTCACAGTCATCCGATTTAATGTCCCTTGACCAGATTGTCCACCGTGAGACGATGGGCTTGAAATGTTATTTAGAGCATTGATAAAAGGTGAGCAGTTCTAAGATGACAGCGAGTCATAAGGCTGGTGGTGTGACATTAATTTTCTCCATAACAGAGATGGAATAAGACGTCATGGTGACAAGCTGTCAATCAGTACTGGCCCCTCAGTGTATCTCGATGCTATAGGATGGGGTATTGCTTCTCCCATAATAGAGCTGAACTGAGATGCTCTCCCTGACAGCTGCTGCAGCCATACAGAAAATATATTATACAGCCTTTCATTAAAAAAATAAAGAGGACTCATCTCCAGAGCATTTCAATCTTTTCCCATCTATTGAGGGCTGAAAAGATTCACAGCAAATCACGGATTCCTCTGCTATGGAAATTTCAGGCTTCAGAAACTGTGTGGGTTTTGAGGCCTTCAACAATAATCATAAATAAGAAGACAGAATATCATCTGATAAATCATTACTTAAAGTTATGTTTTTAAAGTAATGTACTAAAGTCATTTGCTTCTCCCAGAGTCTCTGCTGTGGCATTGTATACATTTTCATCAGTCTCTGCAGTCACGATGTGCAGCAAATGAATTTAAGCCAGCTGACTTGCTGGACCTAAAAGTTCAAAAATAATTATTCTGCGGGATTCTAACAAAGGTAGCAAAGTGACATACAGCACTGTGCCTTTTTGCAGAATGAGCTTACCAGGATGAAATTTGGAGAAAGGGGCTGTACAGCATTGCAGGAAGGGAGCAGTCACTTGCCTTGCTCTGTGTTTGGTTTTTGCTTTGTTTTCTTTCTGCACCTTGGTGGTTTTTTTTTGGTTATTGGGAAACTTGGGTAAAAGGTGGAAACATTTTTGTAAACCCTTTCCCTTTCGTCATGGTATTAAAGCAGAATTATCAGTTGTGGTACCAGTTCTGATAAGAAGCTTCCAAACCTTAATTGTAATAAAAGAGGAATGGTGCCAACATGCTTTTGAATTATAACAGTGCTATCTGTAACACCATCTCTGCCATCTTCAGCTTCTAAGCGTATAAGCAGGGAGTTGAGTGTGTGCTGATTAAAGTTGACCATCAGTATTTTTAAGCTGTATTTCTGATTATTAACATATTAAAAATGATAAAAAATTATTACCCATTATGTATGTATGTAGCATGTGGGGTACTACAGTTAACTGGATTCCTCAGTTTGACCAAGGTCAAACCTTCACTGTAAACAGTAAATGGTCAGCTGGGGCTTGTGAAATTAATGTCAGAGTGTGATTTAACTGTTAGAATCATCTTATTAATAAAAAGACAGGGATGCGTATTTTGTGTCTAACATTTTAATAAGTGGGTTATCTATGCATAAACATACTGTAGTTTTTGCAAACTGACATTTAATATTTCATTTAACCAGCACCTGTGGTTTTCAGATCAGTGATGTTATTTATTCTGGTTTTCCATAACAGTCGATTTTGCCTTCATAATAAATTAAAGAATTGTTGACTTAGTGTTTTACCTGATCTTTGCACTTTCTAGAAATCTGGACATTATGATAAGCAGTGGAAAAGGTTTCACCTGCACTACATTAAAATTTTAGAAAAGGCCACAGACATTAAATGCATTAGTCCAGATTTTTAAATGAAGGTATATTCTAGTATTTATGAACAAGACTTGTAAAAACAACCAAAAATTAGTCCATATATATGTATGATTTAAAATGGAATTGAAAATCTATTTTTAATCTCCTCTTTTGGAGTTCCCCCCTCCATGTTGTTTAAAAACTGAATTACAATGACAGGTTTGTTATTAATTGGTTGCATATTCAAAGTTACATTCGATGTTCTATCATTTGAAATTCTGCAACTTTTAAATTACATTTGAAGTCAGAGGTTGAGAGTTTCAGCATATCACACCTAACTGTTATAATACTCCCAGCTTGTTACTTTTAGTTATTTCAAAAAAGAGCAGCAACAGAACACACTTTCCAGGCAGCTTTCTAAAATTATGTTGGGTGAATAAATGCAAGTGTTAATCTACTCTTTAACCTTTTTTTTCTCTTTTTAATATGTGTAGATATTGTAGAAATTTATGTTTTAAAAAAATAATGTTTTATAGTAAGAGCTTTCTGCCATAGAATTGGAACCATTTTTAATTCACTTTTTTTTTTTTTTTGGCATGTGATTATTATGAAAATTGTTGAGTTGCTATAATGCTCTTTTGATTGGTTTTGATCATGTTATTTGGAAGATATATGCAAGATTATTTATATGCATATGTGCTATATGTAAGCTTACATAAAATGGTCAACTACAACAAAACAAATATTGGCCCTAGGTCACTGTTCAAAATGTTATTGGAGCCATCAAAGGGTAAGTGTGAACATAGACCTCACAAAAGTATTCAGGGAGAGGAAGTGTTTTATTTTGTGTATTAATTTTATTAATACACTGCTATAATTTAAAATTTTGATGGGCAGGTGTTCATGTACTATTAGGGGATTAATTCAGTAGAATTAGTGTTCTATTTAATAATTCATATTCTACATTTTCCTTTGCATTTTTCATAGGTATGTTAAAGTTGCAAAATGCTGAAAGAAACACTGACAACTGTACATTCTTCAGAAAGTAATATTTAAAAGTATGAGTAAGTTAGACAGAATTACACTAACATATTTGGGCTAGGGAGGAGACTATTAATATTGCTTTTGGTTTGTCTTTTTTGCAATCCATAACTGTTTTTCTTTTTATTCTTTTTAGAGTCCAATGACGATGTTCCGTAACATGAAAGATGTGGGATTTCTTCAGGTGAAGGTCATCAGGGCAGAAGCATTGATGGCAGCTGATGTCACAGGCAAGGATTCATTTAGTTTCTGTGACAGTAAATATATGTCAGGTATTTGAAAAAAAGGGCCTTTTTAGAAGTTAAACAAAAATGTTTAAAACATAAATTTATCTAAAGATTATTTTCTATTTGCACAGTCTCACCTTCTGCTCATTAAGGAAGAAAATCTGCAGACAAACAAACAAAAGTTTTGTAAAGCAAGGCAGCAAGACATTTGAATGCTAGCAGAGTCCTATGTAGTTATTTCTTGGAAGGGTGAAATAAATGTTCTTCTACATCAGAGGTCCTGTAAAAAATACATAGAAAAGGCTTGTTTTTCTAGTAGATAAAAATACACCAAATTATCCAAATTAAAGCTCAGTTTCAGAGGACAAGGCAAATGAAAGGTGCTAGACTGAGATGCTACGTTAAAGTTGTTATCAAAAGAACTGCTTGATATCTGACAGATGTTTAGCAAGGCTGCTGTTGGTTTCAGATACCAAATAAATGCATTTTCCCGTAACTACTGTTTATCCGTTTAAGAAGGGAAATAAGAAATTTTTTTTATTTTCTATTTTATGTGGTATAAGTTGAATGGATAATTTAACCTTTTGCTTTTCAAAATAAAGAAGAAGTATTTCAGCTATACTGCCCATATTTCTCCAGAAATGTCCCAAGTTATCTTCTGTAAGTACAATCGCCTTCACACTGCACAAGTTGAATGGAGCAAAATGAGCTGCTTCTGTGTCAGAAATTAGCCATCTCTGCTTTTTTTTAAAAAAAAAGAGACACCAAAAAAGGAAAGTATACCAATCTACCTGGTTTAGCTCGATTTGGACATCAATGTTCTGTTACGGGAGCAGATACAGATACGTAGCAACATATTAACTTTTTAATAGTTTTTCTGTAAATTAGCATGAGTACCAGTATTTTTTTTCCCTCAGACAAGGTAACAGAGCAAACATTTTATTGCTGAAACTGATCATCCAGTTGTGGCATGCAACATAACAGATTCTGTTTTCAGGGAGATTGAAGAAATGCTTCTAAGGATTCTTCACTCTGCTTTGACCTTATAATCCAATGTGGTCTGAACAGAGAGAGAGAGATTAAGTTATTCAGGAGCAAATGGGATAATTCAGTCCCTGACCTCGTTCAGTCTTCGTCTTTTCCAGATCAACATGTCATTTGCACTCGTTGTACAAATTTTTTGGAAATACATTTGATTCATTTAAAGATGTACAGAGCTACCAAAAATTCTCAGACATTGCATTTAGAACGATGATCAGGAAGATGGGGAAGAACACTCAATACCTTCCTGTGTCCTGTGTGTTTTGTTCATTAGTAAGAAGAAACATTTATATGGCAGATATGTTTTATAAGATGGCTGTGCATTCCAGAAATCATTGTATATTTTGGACAAAAATACCTAATATTTTGAAAAAAGGATAAAGGGGTTTATTAACTACTGTAGTAATTCACAACTGTTTTTTCTAACTTGTGGACATGTACGGATCATTCATTTCAGATTGAACTTTGAGTAGTAATATTTAGAAATAAAGTAGTTCTTTGGTGATTGTCAATAAGTATCTTTGCAAAAATTATGTAAAACTTGGCCCTCCACCTTTATTCAAATGAGCAGTGCTTATTAGTCAGTGTGGAGAGCACTGTCATCAGTGGTATAACTTACACGACTAATGATTGCTCGTGTGAGTAAAAGCTAAGGACTAGTTTGCTCTTCTTACCATATCTTTTTTTTCAGGGTTAATCTTTTGCCTTCCCCTGAGTCTGAAAAGTAGCTGAAACACCTGTATAGTACCTGTGTGGTTTGCTCTGCTTCCTGTCTGCTGAACATATCCCATTTCCCTTTCAGGAATCTTTTCATGTGAAGTAATATATCAAAATTTATTAGTTTGGGCTGAATGGATTTAAAAAATCCTTAATATTCCATCATTAAGCATAAGCATAGACGGAAAAAGATTTCTGTAATCTTTTAAGTAGTCATCAATCTTACCACAGTTGCAATGATTTTTTTTTCCCTTTCAAAATGTGAAATTTTTCTTTTGTTACCATACATTCATTGAGCAGCATTGTAATACTGTATTAATTCTGTGTGAATAAAGAGCAATTGAGACTCCTGTTGAATGAATGACTAAAAAGCACAAATTACTTTTTAATGAAACCCTCAATTCTTTCCCCTTCAACAGAAAGCCTATAGCCATGTTCAGCTGAATGCTACTACAGTAGGTCACTCCAGTTAAGCCCCTAATAAACTCTTGATAGTCGAGGCCAGTTTTTTCTTTAGTCTCAATAGCCCAGTGTTGGACAGTGCACCGCACATCATTAAGGTTAGTACAGAGTTTTTTTAAAAAGAGAGAGAGGGAGAGTAAGGGTGGTGGTTCATGCCTTGGTTTACAAGATGCTAGGGTGGGCTGAAATTTTGGTGAAGTTGTGAGCGGAAGAGCAAGTGGGCACTACGAGTTTGAAAATGGGGTGCTTGCTTGAATGTGCCCTAACTGGGTTTGTAAAATACCCCAGAAAAGAACAAAGTGAGACTTCTCCTCACTCAGCCTGCTTGCAAGCAATTCCAGGAAAAGGAGGATGGCCGAGGGGTTGAGAGATTCCCCACCAGTGCTTGAAAGCTCACCTTGATTTCAGGGAGAGCTGAATAATAGTCCATCTTCCAGGACTGAGGCCTTCGAGAGAACTCCCGGCCCTACAAGGATGTTTCCCCCAGAAAAACAGTGTCTTTCCATGGTCAAAACACAGTTTTAGGGCTTCCAAAAATGCGAAGTTACATTCTTTGGAAATTGTGGTCACAGCAAACACTCCTTCCTGGAAAACAAGTCTTTTTTTAATTTTTTTTTTTTTTTTAACTATAATCTAACAAATGGGAAGACATTGAATGTGGTCTTTAGTTTTTCCTTTTCTTCCGGAGAAGAAAGTTTCATTTAAATCTACTCTTGTATTCAGTACAAGGCTCTTTTCTCGCTAAATCCTCAGCTAAAAGAAGTTACATTTTTCCCATTTCCCCACATCTTTGCTCAGTTGTGGTTCCTCTGGAAGACAGGCAGACCTTCTTGGGCGCTCGGCTGCCTGCGGAGCTCTGGCGTAGCAGCGTGTGCGCCCACAGTGACATCCTTTTGCCTGAAGAGACGTTCTGGTGGTGCAGGAAAACCTAAGGCGTAATGGACTCATCGTGTCAGGTCACCTCTGAAGTTAATGTGTATTCTGGTGACCTAACCCGTATGAGTCTTGGAAAGCAGTAGACCCTTCACCATGATGTAGTGCCGGTTAAGGCGGTAGTCGGGTAAGCGTATTCCTTCTGCCGCAAAGTTAGGTGTAGGTGGGTCGTGGTGGGAGACTGCCGGCTTCGTGGGCAGCGCTTGCGTCTCCTTTACACATTCCTTCTCTTCCTTGTACCACGGAATAAATTTCAAAACCTTTGCCTTATTACTGATGAGAAGCAAGCAGGGTGGGAAAACATGTGCCAGAGGTTTGACCAACTTCGGCGAAAGTCCTGTTATTTTAAGGAATAATAGTTAGCGGCTCGGATTCATTAGCAGAGCAAAATCCAAGCTCCATGTGACGGTCTGCCTGGAAAACAGTTTGTTTTGCTGTCTTTGGGCTTTAATTAATCCCCTGCCCCCACCCCGCTTGCTGTGTCACAGACCGGCGATCAGACGCTTTCAGATGGTCCAGCCCATGACTTTGACCTTCTGCGCGGTCCGGCGTTCCCTGGGGAACCGTTCAGCTCATGAGGTCTGATTTCACACTTCCAGGATGCCTCGGCGCTCTTAACAATGACAGGGAGACAAAGCCCTTTAGAGCGGGCCGCATGGGGACTTGTTTAAATTGGAAACTAGAGAGGAGTCAAGGAACAAGGTTACAGGCTACAGAATAGTGCTTTTAATAAAGAGCTCACAGCTCTGGTTCAGCTCAAAGAGGGCTACCTCTGTACAATTAATTGAGACATTTATCTGGAGCATCTTAGGCCTCTACTTTCTCACAGAATTATGTGATAAATATCAGCTAAGAGGCAAATGAGATGTGCATGAAATGAATTTTTAACACTTTGATTACTGTGTCTCCAGTCTTCATTAGAAGTAAATTTATTTGTATTTCTGACTTCATTATTAATCAATTGTCTGCGGGTTTTTTGGGTACTGAGATTTCAGAACCTGGTATATCAGACAGATTTTACTAAAGAGCTCAGTGATACTTAGGTTTACACCCAAAAGCTTTTCAGGCTTCTTCTCCTCTGAAGAGCAGAAACTAAGCATAGAAAATGAGGCAGATTTTTTTTTTTCTTTTTCAATTTTGTCTGGAATTCAGCCTCTCTTCTAAGAAAATTCCACGTTAAAATTTTGACTAAAGTACTTGAAAGTAGGATGAAGATACCAAGATGGCTAAACGTGCAGAATGTAAATGACTTTTCTAAAATCTGTTCTACTAAAATGTCCTAGTACCACATGTGCAAAAATAGTCTTTGAAGTTGTTCTTCAAATGCTAGGAAATGTCAGAGTGATGTACACAAACATTAAATTCGCAAAGGTATGGAAGCCCATGCATGTAAAATTGAAGGAATAAATTCAGAGGCCCTTTGGAAATACAGTTCCAAAAGTAATTTGCTTTGTCAATTAGTGCAACCAGGTTTCAATATGCACTTGAATTATCTTCACAAAGTACAGAAATCTACTAGATGGGCAGTATTCTATGGTAGATAAAATCTCACCTGGTCCTATCTGGGTAGGTTAGCTGAGGATGTCAGTCCAATATCTTGTACTGCAAAACTACTTTTTTTTAAAGAAAGTAGCAGGTTTAGGATACTAATGGCAAAATTAGGATTTAAAATACATTTTTGGTTAACCGTAGCATTTAGAATTAAATATACAGTGAAAGGATGATTTGTGATTTCCTCCCCTCCCCGCCCCCCAGTAAATATTCTGTGGAAATTAGTTTAACGTGGTTGTGGCACTTCACTGAACCGCCTGGTAGGATCTCCCACGCATTCATGGTATCAGTCCGCTGCA